GTCCAGATCTCGCATACCTTCTCAGCATCTTGGCTCGCTTTGTGGCGTCAGGCAGACAGAGGCCACAGCACTAGTCGGCCGCTAAGAGGGTTTTGCGTTATCTAGCAAGTACATTGGACATGGAACTCGTGCTAGGAGGTCACAGGCCAGTCGTCCTTATCGGGCACACAAACGCTTCGTGGGCAGACGACGCTGAGACACTCAGGTCCTCCCAGGGCTTCTGCTTTAGCCTTGGGTCAGGTGCCATCTCGTAGAGGTCCACACGCTCCTCGTCTATTGCCCAGTCTAGCCTTGAGGCTGAGATCTATGCTGGTGCCATGGCGGCACAGGAGCTCCGCTGGCTGACCTTCTTGCTCGCCGACTTAGGTGAGTGCCCTAGCTCTGCCCCGGTTTTGTATGCTGACAACAGGGTCATGATCCTCTTGTGTCAGGAGCCTCGACTTGAGGGCAGAGCGAAGCACATCCAGCTGCGGTACTTCCTCCTGCGCGAGCTACAGCAGCGCCGCCAGGCCCGTGGAGGACACTTGGCCTCTGGTTCCAACACGACTGATATCTTTACTAAGGCGCTTGTGCCTAAAGATCATCAGCGGCATTGCTTGCAGCTTGGTCTAGTGCCTGTAGACTCTCACTTGGTAGGACCTTGATTGTTTACTCCTCTCTATATATACCTTCTTGATTGGCCTTGTGGCTTCTCTTTCAGTGGCCGGACTAGTAGTGCTACCCTGGTTCGCTCTTGTCGAGTTTGTTCTCTTGCTGACTGGTCTTCGGACCCTTACCTCGGAGGTTGGACTAGTAGCGTTGTTGGGCTGAGAAGAGCCCTTGGGATCTTTCCAGAGACTAAGTCCCAGTTGTAAAATGAGACTTGAGTAGTGCAGCGGAAGTTGAGGCAGTTGAACCCTTGTACTAGTATATGAGAACAAGTGATTGATTAAAGAAACAAGCATACAGCAATATATAGGAAATAAGAAAGTAGTTGTGGAATACAGTTGCAGGAGCGGTTATCGAGTCGCACAGGCGACTCGATTGCCGCTTTGGTTACCATCTGCGATGTTGTAACTGTCAGTCGCAACCTCCAGTTGCGACCTTTCGAGTTCCTTCGCGTTCTTTGTCTGTCCCCTCGTGTAACCTACGTTGACTCGCGTACCCCCCCCCCCTGTAATTTTCCTCAAGTGTAGTGTTACACTTCAGAAACGCTTAAGTCCTTTGAGATATTTCCAACAAGCGCCACCCTTAGTTGCGTGTTTCTTGCTCAGCACTGCCCCTTATCTAGCGTAGGGGGTGTCAACTTATACATGTGTGTTTATATGTAGAAGTTTTAGGCTAGATAGGTTTGTGTTCATAGAGGGTACAACTCCAACCCTATATCGTCCCCTGTACTACCTTTTTTCTATTTATTCTGCTATCCTAACAGTCTTGTTGGTCATGGCATGATGTCTGGTCGTTGGTGATGGCATGAGGCCTGGTCGTCGGTGAGAGCATGATGCCTTGTTGTTGGTGATGGCATGAGGCCTGGTCGTTGGTGATGGCAAGATGCCTTGTTGGCGATGGCATGATGCCTGGTTGTTGGTGATGGCATGATGCCTTGTCGTTGGTCACTTAGATGAAGGGGTGGCGAGGGGAGTGCAGGGGTGATGAGGGAATTGCAGGGTTGATGAGGGGAGTGCAGGGGTGATGAGGGGAGTGCAGGGGTGATGAGGGGAGTACAGGGGTGATGAGGGAAGTGCAGGGGTGATGAGGGAAGTGCAGGGGTGATTAGGGGAGTGCAGGGGTGATGAGGGGAGTGCAGGGGTGATGAGGGGAGTGCAGGGGTGATGGGGGAAGTGCAGGGGTGATGGGGGAAGTGCAGGGGTGATGAGGGAAGTGCAGGGGTGATGAGGGGAGTGCAGGGGTGATGAGGGAAGTGCAGGGGTGATGAGGGAAGTGCAGGGGTGATGAGGGGAGTGCAGGGGTGATGAGGGGAGTGCAGGGGTGATGAGGGGAGTGCAGGGGTGATGAGGGGAGTGCAGGGGTGATGGGGGAAGTGCAGGGGTGATGAGGGAAGTGCAGGGGTGATGAGGGGAGTGCAGGGGTGATGAGGGAAGTGCAGGGGTGATGAGGGGAGTGCAGGGGTGATGAGGGAAGTGCAGGGGTAGGGAGGGGAGTGCAGGGGTTTTGCTGGTGTGATTCAAACGAGACTTGAGGAAGACAGAAGGAATGTGCTGTGCGAGCAACGTGTACAGGCAGTGTGGCAAAGCCACGATGAGTGTAATAATTTGGAAGGGGTACACACACAGAACATGCAACAGTACATGAGCCCACTAATAAACCTCAACAATGCTCAAGCTGCCCTTATTCGCCTGACACCAAATCAGGCTTTCAGATGGGCACCCCGGCATCACACATTTCGCTTCACTGCTTTGATCGGGACCACCACGGCAGCCGGCATGCACCACACCTCTTGCGTTACTCGGTGGTGCCGTAGCTGGCGTACTTGCAGTCGGGCGCGACGACGGAGGAGGAGATGTAGTCCTCCACACGGCCATCCAGGAAGCCGCTGCCGTCCGCCTTGTCGACGTCGACGGGGCGGTGCAACAGTGCTGCCAGGTGTGAGTACTTCACGGCGCGCTGCAGCTGCTCGGGGGTGCTGCGGAACGTCTGCCCCAGCACGCCGTGCACGGCTGACGTCATCGCCACGTCCGACAGCTCCACGTTGAAGTGCGCCTCCGCCTCCTCCGCCGTCTGCAGCAGCGGGTGCGCCACGCGCGCGCGCACGTCCAGCTCCCCCAGCCCCGCCACGCGCACCTGGAACTGGTCCACGTCGAACGGCCCCTCCTTCGCCTCCGCCACTTTGGTAACCGCCACCCCGCTCTCCGTCGCCACCGTCTCGCCCACGCCAGGCACGCGCGTCGCCGCCCCGTCCACCTCCAGCAGCGCCACGAACCCGTCGGCGCCGCGTTCCTGCTGCTTGCCCTTGCGCGCCACCATGCGCAGCGTGTGGTTCGCGCCGTCCGCGCCCACCCACACCACGCCCACCTCCTTGATCCACGTGTGCAGCTCCGTCGACGACTCCTTACCCGCGGAGTTGGTCCCTGCCGACGCGGCGGACGTGGCGAGGGCGGGCGGCGCGCCCTGGTAGCCGTTGAGGAGCATGTTGACGTGGAAGCGGCGGTCGGAGAAGAGGCAGAACGACTTGTCGAGGCGGCCCGTGAAGTCGTAGCGCGTGCCGTGCGCGCCCGTGAGATGCGGGTCGTTCTCCACCAGCGCCGTGCCGTTGCACAGCCCGCCCAGGAAGCTCAGCGGGATGGTCGCCGCGTTGGCCGTCTGCTCCGTCGCATCCCCCGCGTACGGCGTCTGGTAGTCGCCCGACATGCCCGACCCGCCAATCCTCTCCAGCAGGTAGCACTGCACGCGGTCGATGAACCCCGCCACGTTCGCATTCTCGCCCGCCAGCCGCGAGCTAAGGGGAGAAAGGCGCGCGGGAGGGAAAAGACGGTTAGGGGGAGTAGAATCCGTACAAGAACACAGTGAAATCGAACGGTACTATCAGCGGCAAGAAAGATGTATTAGAAAGAGCAGCAAGTGCGTAACAGGCAGCGCGGGCTTACTTTTTGAACCAGTGCCACTGGTAGCAGTAGGTGGAGCGCGCGCAGGCGCGGCAGCACTCCTGCAGCGTGTCGCCGTAGACGCCCTTGACGACGTCGAAGATGGTGCCCACCTCCGTGTACCGCTCGTAGTTCACGGGGCCCGACCCGCGCTGGAACGGCACGAACGCGCCGTACTGGTCGTTGAACACGCCCTGGAAGTCGCCGAGGAACGGGTAGCTCGTGTACGTGGTGTCGTCGATGGTCGCCGTCGCCAGGTCGTCGATGTACGGACACACGTATCGCGTGTGGCACCCGCCGGGCGGCAGATTCGCCGCCAGAGACGCGTGGACCAGGCAGAGCGCCGCGAGGAGGGTTAAGGTTAAGGAGCTAGGAAACGCCATGGCCCGAGATCGATGGAGGGCTTCGCGTATTTTTCGGGAGATACGGTTTTCGTCGCTGAAAGGAAGGGACTTTCTAGGGTTTCGGATGCGATGTGGGACGAACTCAGGAAACTCCAGTGTGATTCGAGCTTGTTGTGTTGGAGCATGATCCGGCGGGCACTAATAAGGACGTCCATGGAGGGCTCGCTAGCGCGCAAGGCGCAAAGGCGTGGGGCTTGACGCGGCGAAACGCTACTAGGGAGGGAACAGCCTATGCGTCTCGGGCTCGCGAGAGAGGGCAGAGCCCACCCTACTGTGAAACCTGTTGGAATTGTGACATGCAACACGGTGGATTAGCTAATGCGAGTGGCGAGATTAGAGTGGGAGAGGGAGAGACGAAAATACCCACTCCCCATGCATCCCTGGGCTGCAGATTTTTGGGGGCGGAAATCCACTCAGCATCGAGTCAGTTTCAAAATTTCGAAGTTGAACCTGGTTACTTGGCTGCTTACAGACATTGGGATGACGTTGTGGGAGAATGTCGTGATCCCCGGTTCGTTCGAAACGTGCTGGATTGAGCCTCCGGGTTATGTAACTTCGATTTCGGAACTGAGAGAACCCGACCCGATGTTGGCAACCAAAGCCAGTGGTAGAATGCTGGAGGGAAAGCCAGTGGCAAGGTTCGAGCGAAGGCCAGTGGCGCAATGGGAAGGAATTGCCCACACTCACACCACACCCACCTGAACCAGTCTCCCCTAATTGTGGTTACCTTGTCACCGCGGATGGGTGTGACTGTGACAGCGCCTTGCCACCCAATTATTTCGCATCACATTGAACCATGCTGGGCGAAAAACGTTTCCATCCCAGCCAAATTCCAGTTGGGCTCCACCACCACCACCAGCTCTGCCTCGCCGTTTGTTGTGCCAACCAGCCCTGCCCCACCCCCCAACTCTCTTTTGAGATCCATCCATTGGGCACCCCTGGAGGTTAAGCCGGTAACTTTGCTGTAACACCAAACTTCACACGGTGATTACAACTCTCAATGAGGTATAGATTTACCACCAATGAAAACTTATAAAGCACACAATTCAGCAAAAGAGGTTTGCTATGGTCTCACTGCAGAAGTTGATGATTTGATCACTACTTCCATAAACACTAAAAAAAATTATACCGATTACGTTAGAAGGCGTCTTAGCCATGTGTATTTTGCTCCAAGCTGACATGTCTACTCAGCTCCCTTGGTGCCGTACATGATGCAAGCGCCCACCATCGCACACGCAAAGAAGATCGCAAAGCCTACTAGCATCCACTGCCACCAGGCGAGCGACGCGTGGCAGGAAAATCCACACTCGCAGTTCTGGAGCATGCCTGGAGAAGGGGTGGAGGAGAGAGGTAGGGAGGGGTGGGGTGTGAGCGTGCGTGAGCTAGGAGGCGACGAGGGATATGGAGAAAATGAGGAGTAGAGGAAGCCCATCTGGTGTAGGGGAGAAGGGGATTGTGGTTAAGGGGAAAAAAATGTTTGGGTGGAAACAAACAGGGGATTGGCAGAAACGATCAGGGAACAGACCGAGACCAACAGGGAACAGGCGGAAACGAGCAGGGAACAGGTGGAGATCAACAGGGCATTGGGCTTTACGGCGTGCAACAGCGCAACGCAAATGGTGGTAGTTTACCCAGCATTTCGCGGAAACGAGAAGCGATATGAGGAACCCAGTTTAGGTTCAAGATTCCCCATGGAGAAATAAAGAACCCCCAGTTGTTACAATATGCGCCAGTGGAAGCTCACTGGAGGAAATCGTGGGGGGAGCGCACAACAGCGCGTTTATCTCCAAACCGGGGAAAGGCGTACCTCCGGTGAAGACGGGATTGAAGAAGGGAATGCAGCCGGAGGGAGCCTTGGAAATGCAATTCTGCGGGATGAGCGGCACGGGAGTGAACCACAGGGGGCGGCGGGAGGAATGCGCGGAAACCAAATGGGTTGAGGGAGGGGAGGGGTTTTGCAGGCAGGAAAAGTGCAGGAGCACAAATGAGTAGAACTTCGGCACGAAGGACTAAGGGCAGCTGATTGGCGGGAACAGATGATCTGTGGCTACTCGGAAATGGAAAGACCACCGAGCGTTCATGGCAATCCTCGCGAGCTACTATACTGGTGATGATTTCGAGACCATGGTCGACCGACGATCCTTCTCTCGCGGCGAGAGAAGCGCTCCGCCAGAGGGTCACGACACACCTCATTGCGGCGTCGCGACGCCCAATCTCGCGCATCAGATCGATGAGATGCGCTTTCAAAGTTTTGGACGTTTCAATAAGTTATTATGAAGAGCCTAGTTTGTGAACCGAAAAGCATGATCCCTCGTGGCGAGACCAGGTCCAAACTTTGGAGAGGGAACAAATAGGCGCAAACAAGCGAGCGAAGCACAGACACTGTGCGTGTAGTGGAATCGTCATAAAGCGGGGTTCTTGCACTCGAAGTTCAAACACAGGCTGCACCGAAGCTCTTCCACAAGTATCCACTGGTAATAGTATCGACCACTGGTGGCACCACTGGCGGCACGACTGGTGGCACCACTGGATGCTCAATGGATCCATGGCAATACTCAAAGCGAAGCAGAGCGTACCACGTGTCGCTCAATGGAGAGGGATGCACGTACCACGCATCATTGCCCTGTGCAGTTGAGGTAGATGCTGTTGTTGCCCGACGCAGCGCACATGTTGTTGCATGGGCTTGAAGTTATTAGGCTGCACCGACGCCGCGCGAAGCGACGCGGCGACAGAGAAGAAGGCACGTACCACGCATTGCATTGTGCAGTTGAGGTAGATGCTGTTGTTGCCCGACGCGGTGCAGAAGTTGTTGCATGTCGAGTTGTACGTCGACGACGACTGCGCCGACGCTAGGTGAAGCGACGCGGCGAGAGCCACGAGAACGAGCAGCAGCACGCTGGTCTTCATGGTTAGAGATTGCGGGCTCGCCTGGCAGTCAAATGGTGAAAACCAATCAAGAGAGCAGAATAAGGGTGCTCGTGCGGAAATTGCTAGTACTAGAAGTAATTCTAAGAGTAACACTAAATTACAGATGCTCTGATGGTGAAAGTTCGCTGGCAATTGCAAGCCCAAAAATGGCAACTGAGCTAATTTCAAGGATGGATGTGAGAAGCAGAGCCATTATTCAGGATCCGATGCAACCACAAGAAATCTGCTTGGGAGGGGCTTTCCCTGTTGAGCCCTACGCGGTCTGAGGGCGCATCCAAAGTGGCTTCGGGTCACTATTTGAGCAACGAACCGCGGAACAGGAACACTTTGGACACAGCCATTTCATACACCAGAAATGAAACTGCGAGCGGCTGTCCATTGTGGAGAAAAAAATCTGGGACTGGATTCGAGCGTGGCTCAGGGAGGGTCCAAATAGTTCATACTCTATTCATTTAGCGAAAAGTAACCCGATTTAACCTCGCGCTGATTTCGCGAGGACAGGTGCGCGAATTTGCCGTAACTCGGGACGGTCGAGGCATGTAAAGGTACATGTACCCCAGTCTAGATCCGTTTACGATTCGGGTGACAGTAGGTGTGCGTGTGGGGGGCGAGTAGACACGAGTGGCAATTTAGGGTTTCGCCAAGGTGGGCTTAACGAGAACAAGGCGATTTGACGAAATCTTCGCGTGGCGCAACGCCACATCGCAAATTCCATCCAGCCCAGCACGAAATATCTGTCCCGCAGCTTCAGCATTTGGTAACTGCGATTTGGGGCGTCTGAGGCGAACCGTTTTTTTGCGACTCACCCAGTTGGCGCCAGTCTCTCTTTTTGTTCGCAATGTGGGACACGGTTTTGGGGGGAAACGATTTCGGGATCGTTTTCAATTTTAATACCCCGAGTTCGTAAAACGGGTCCAAAACCCTCAATTGAACTATTTGGACCCGCCCTCATCCATCATTTCGAAAAATCCCCACATCCCCAGGCAAATTGGCAAGTCTTTACAAAGTGTGCGGAATTTTCGCACTTCGGACAGAATGCCAGATTTTTCAGTCTGGTTTTCGTTACCGGAACTGAACGCGAGAGTGCCGTTTCAGTTGTGCAAAGCGATACCCAGCCTGAGCCGAAATCTTCAAGTGGCACCTTGGATGCGCCCTGAGTGGCCCAATTACGGACTGCTGTGGGTTTTGTTGCCCCTGCACAGCAGCAGTATCTGACCGAACTGCCGCCAAGACAGCCAGGCGCGGCTTTCGGCGGGAACGTGGCTGCGGCTGGTTTGGTTCTGTGAGCCGCAGTGCGGCCCAGGCCCGAAGCTGCAGGTTTTGGTGAGCATTCACCCCCAACCACGTCCCATTAGGTACGGGCTGCGCCCACTTACGTGTTCGGGTCTTGGCTTGGCACAAACCGAGCAACACACGACTGTCTCCACGAAGCGCCTCTGGGCTACTGATGCCGAACGTGTTTTTTTGTCGAGGCTTTGTGATTGTTTTCACTCACAACCCTTTTAAACCGTTCATTAAATTTCTCGAACGTAAAGCACCTGACAGAAACGAACGAATTAGAGTTTGTGCCAGCCATCACCGAGAAGGGAAGCCACTCATTTGGTGCCCTGTTTCGAAAAGGGGCACCTTGAGGGCGTCATAATAATTCTCTTGTAGGGCGCAGCTGTATACAGCTTGACCTGAGTTGTTTTACATATATTCACTCCCCCCTAACTTTGAACAATTCAAATGCATATTAATTGTGCAATACCAGTTTAGTTTTAGCTTGAAATGAATTTAATATTACAAGGCAAAGTTACCGAGCATGCTCTGCAGTTTTTTCAATTGGATAATTAGGCTCATCGAATAATGAGTTTTTTCACTTATATTAATAATTAATCAGAGTAATAACATGTAGAGTAATAAAGGAGTCGGCATTCAAGATTGTTGATATAAATAAGGGCCTATGCATTTATACGCACGAACAGAGCTAGCCGAGAACCACGAGAACATGTTGGGGCGGTCTGGTTAGCAAAAGTTGCGGAAGCGCCGCGCTTCTAGGTTTGGGTTCGCGGAGCGGTTCAGGACCGAAGAAGTTGGCCGGGCATGGACTTCCGCGAGTCGAGGGCGTACGCGCTGTAGTCGAGCCCAGTAAGGAATCCTTACACCCCCCCCCCCCTCCTTCCAGGATGAGACTACCCACATCCGGGACACGTCGTCGGTGTAAATAATCCCTGACAATTCTGTTTTCACCGAGCGTGGCTGCACGAACCCAGAGGTCATCGTCACTTGTGCGATCGACCCAGCGTACAAGGAAATCGACGGCTGCTGTGTCTCAATGTCCCCGTACACGATGAGCGAGGATCTAGACCATAGGATTAATATGTTGACGGTCGAGATTGGTCGCACTCGGGACAAACGGTCGCAGGAGGCTGACGTGGAACGAATGATGAATTTGCCAGTCGGTCGGCAGTTGCAGCTGGGCGCTGACTAGTGTCACCATGCGGATGATGCGGAAGGGTCCGCAAAATCTCGGTCGTAACTTATTTGGGAGGGGGATTCCCAAATTCATGGTGTCTAGCGGGACCAATTGCCCAGGGTCAAGTGTTAAGTTTCGGCATCGTCGATCAAATTGCTGCTTAGGACAGCATCGGCGGCTTTTTGCTCAGACTGTCGAAGGTTTTCGATAAACTGCTGAGACCTTGGTGCCGGATTTTCTATCGTTGGCGATAAAGGGGTTGTTGGATCTATCCCGTGATTAAGGAAGAACGGGGACTGAGTAGTCGTGGCCGATGGGGCATTGTTGTACGCAAACTCGATCAAGGGGAGGGCATATTCCTTTTGGGCCGGGTCTGTACATATCGTGCTAATCATCTGCTCCATCGTCTGATTGGTGCGCTCATTCTGGCCGTCCGATTGCAGATGGTACGTCGCGGACAGATGCTGGCGTGTATCGTACTGTTGCCAGGTTTTTGTTCCGAAGCTGGACGTGAACCGTGGGTCACGATCGCTGATGTTTGCGGATGGGATACCGTGGAACAGTTACGCTGTCTGCTCGGCAATCATTGTCGTTTTGCAGGCACGAAATGGGCCATTTTGGTCAACCGGTCAACGACGACGAGGATCGTGTCGTTACCGCTTGAACTAGCTGGCAGGCCTGTGACAAAGTCCATCGTCACTTGTTGCCAGGGCCGGCTGAGTGGCTCGAGCGGCTGTAGCAATCCAGCCGGCCGAATTGGGGAAGACTTCATGCGTTGACACGTGGCACTGGAGGTGACGTACTGCTTTACGTCTGTCGGTAGGTCGGGCGAGTAATAATTACGCCTCGGTAATTTCACGATTTTGTCGATGCCGTAGTGACCCGAGAAATTCGAGGCATGTGCCTCCTAGATCAATAATTCCCGTAGGGTACGGTAGGCGGGAACCCAAATCCGATTGGAACCGGATTTGAGATAATAGGCCTCTTGCTTGACCGTCAGTTGGGGATGACTATTAGTGGTGAAGAATGGGTCAGTACTGTATCCGTGGGTGAATAGGCCAGTTAGCAGTGGATTAGCTTGAGTAATTAGGACGGCGACGGTGTGGACCTAGGGGCGGGTAAGTGCGTCGGCGTTGTTGCTGACCCCTCGTTTGTAGGTGACTGTGTAGTGGAAATTGGACTCCAGGTAGTCGAGCCAGCGAATCTGTCGGGGATTCAGTGTCGGTTGGGCACAGATGAACTGTAGCGACTTGTGGTCTGTTCGGACTGTTACGTCAGCGCCTGTCAGGTAGCAGCGCCAAACTTTGAAAGCGTGAACGATGACGAGTAACTCCTTGTCGTGGACATGATAATTTCGCTCGGCCGAGTTCAGCTTTCGTGACTCGTAGGCGATCGGTTGTAGGCCTTCGCCGAAGTCTTGTAACAGGACTGCGTCGACGGCCAGATCGCTAGCGTCGGTAATGAGCTCGAATGGATGGTGAGGATCTGCAATCTGAAGGACTGGCGGTGTAGTCAGGAAAAGTTTGAGCTTTTCGAACACAGCCTGCTGCTCTCCCCCCCACACAAAAAACGTACCCTTCTTCAGGAGGTCCGTGAGATGGGAAGTTACCCCCGTCATGTTTGGAATGAAACGGCGGACGTAATTGACAAACCCCAGGAAAGTCTGAAGTTCGTGGAGATTAGTTGGCGGCTTCCAGTCTTGGATAGTAGCAATCTTCTTTCGATCAATCTTAACATCGTCGATGGAGATTACGTGACCTAAAAACTCCAGTTCGTGTTTTAGAATCTCGCACTTATAGCCCTTGGTGATTAGTCGGTTCTGCTGTACAAGAGAGAAAACTGCTTCCAAATCCTTTAAATGCTGCTCCCGGGTTGTGTTCTAGACGAGAATGTCGTCGAGGTACAAGATGACGTACTTATCCCACAATGGCCGAAAAATCTCGTTCATTGTCAACTTGAATGTTGAAGGCGCATTTGTTAAGTCGAAGGGCATGACAGTGTATTCGTAACTCCCATACCGGGTCCAAAAAAGCCATCTTGTAGTAGTTAGCTTCGTGCACGCGAAGTTGGTGGTAACCGCCTCGCAGGTCAATCTTCGATAGAAATCGGTCCTCGCGAAGTTGGTCAATGAGGTCGTCTGCACATGGAATGGGGCGGACGAAACCTTTCTCGAGCAGGTAGTCTTGTTGGCGTCGAAGTTCATCTAACTCGGGCTGAGTCAGCCGCCATTTGGGTCTGAAAAGTAGGTTGCGCGCCTTGTTCAAGCTCGATTTTGTGATCATGCGGCCGTTGAGGTGGCAAGCCCGCTGATAGGTCGTCTGGAAAAATATCGACGTGCTTCCGAATCACTTATGTCAAATCATCAGGTACAGCTGCACAGAGTTTGTCGATGTCGGTCGGTGTGTCGACAGCCGTTGATGCGATCCATCGGACGGCATACAGTTGCGCTCCTCGAATCATCGCGCGCTTTATAGTCACTGTGCTGAATGTCGATGTTGTCGAGTCTTGACTGCTCCACTTGGGTAGCCATCGCCACTCTAGTTTATGCGACAATCGCCCGTCTGCCAGTCGATGCTCGGGTTGTATTTGCGCAGCCAATCGCGTCCCAGCAGCATGTCACATCCGTTTAGAATTGTCGCCAGCATCTTCATCGTGAAACTAAAGTTTTCGCCACAGGTGACTCGCACGTGAAGCACGCGCTCCCAAATCGCCAGTAGGGTGCCGTCAACCAACCTCGCATCGATTTCGGGCATGCAGCGTTCCAGCTGCAATCGAAGTTTTTGCTTTTGTCACATCCATCAAACTGTGGCTTGCCCCACCATCAACAAATATTTGGATGCGGGTGTCGCCACCCCTTCCTTCAACCAGCACAGGGCGATCAACCGGTTCACCACCCTTATTCAGTCAGGAATGGTCGATAGCCCAAATTGGTACTAAAACCTGGTAGGGGTGTTGGTGTTTGGGCGACGCAGTCAAGTCAGTAGGTGGCCCATCTGCTACTGACGATCTCCATTTCCCGACTGCTTCCCGTCGTTAGCTAAGTTCTTCTTCAGCTGCGGGCAGTCCCTCACCATGTGGTCTGGCTGGTTGTACTGGAGACAGCATCCGAAAAATACCTAGGCTGCAAACACGTCCACGCCGTTGATTGATGTGTGTTGGGGCTGGCCTCGAAAGCGATTTCCCTCCTGGAAACACGCCCTCGCAAGTCCACGCCTTGCGTCCAGCGCATCCGCGATTCGGACAATCTCGTTGAATGTCGCTAGGGCTCGCAGGACGATCTCTTGTTGAATCTCTGGCTTGAGACCACCCACATAGCGACCGATCTTCTCGCCTTCGCTAAGCCCTCCAATTTGATCGTATAACGCCAAGAACGAAACCGTGTATTCTTGGACAGAGCCCAAATGTATCCACATCCGAAGCCTTGTGCGAGCGTTTTCGCGCATGGATATGTGCTCGAATCGGCTCTTCAATGCTTTGCCCCATGCTTTCCACGTACGGATCGTGGCCGACCCAAAGATCGGGCCTGCTTGAGCCGTTGATGAACCGTGCTCCCCATCTACCGCCCGTTGATTCCCTGCCGGGGCTCCTCCCTCATCCAGATGCATGCGCCACCAGTCGAGTGCCAGTCCTCTCAGCAGCGATACAACAAAGTTGACACGTGACGCGTTGTCATTAATACTTGCTGCTGTGAAGAAGATTTCCATGGCGAACAGCCAACCGCTCACTGTAGTCGTTCTGATGATTGGGTTGAATGGCAGAGGCATCAGAGGTTTGATTTAAATGGCCGCCCGCGGTTCGCTGTGGACTTCTTCAACTGCTTCAGGTGTCGCCGACGCCCTCGCTTCGCTTGCAGCATCTTTGTTTCGGTAACAGGCCGCCCGTGATGTGTTTAACCTCGCGTCTGGAGAAGCGACGAGTTTTCGTTGCGCAGCGTCCGTACTTCACTTCCCAGCAACTCGAACTTATCGGCGAGTTGTTGAAGCCGGGCCTACAGTGTCGTCACTGTAGCCTCTCTGGCTTGCAATTCGTCAAACTCCTCCTGAGTCACGTTCCTAACACTACGGCGGGCAGAGGTTTCCGGCGTGATAGACATGTTGGAAATTTTACCTGACAGATCTGAGGGTGCACACGCTTCTAGTTGGAGGAGCTTTAACGAGCCCACCTATGAACTGCAGGCCAACCCTCTATTCTATCGGGTCATGTCCCGACATAAACGGGTTACTCAACGGAAGACTAAGCGGGCAAGAACGGAGCTCTGATACCAGCTGTTATGAATTAATCAGAGTAATAATAGGTAATGTAATAAAGGATTCATTATTCAAGAGTGTCGATACAAATGAGGGCCTAGGCATGTATAGGCACGGACAGAGCTAGCCGAGAACCACGCGAACAGGTTGGGGTGGTCTGGTTGGCGAAAGCTGCGGAAGCGCCGCGCGTCTAGGTTTGGGTTCGTGAAGCGGTTCAGGACCGAAGAAGTTGGCCGGGCCTGGACTTCTGAGAGTCGAGGGTGTATGCGCTGTAGTCGAGCCTAGTAAGGAAAATGGAATTTCCTTACAACTTACAACTTTGTTACAAATTTGCGTAACTATCGTTACCCGACCTGGCCTGGCTTGAGGCGAGAAGCAATCAGGGTTCAAGGCTCGATGACGCATCATCCCACCACCTGCGCACACCCAAAATTCGTGCCCTAGCCTACTAACCGCCATGAATTAGGTTTCCGTAGGATAGGCCTTCGGTCTCCTGTACCGTAGCCCGCAGTGCAAGATGAACGCGTTCAACGACGCCATTCTTTTCGAGAAGCTATCCAAGCTGAATGCATCCCAGCAAAGCATTGAGAGTAAGAACCTGCCTCCGATGTCTATCAGCCTCTCCTTCCATCACCCTCTCGTCCAGAAGCATTAGTCAGCTAGTTTCGGACAAGGTTCATTTTTCATACTACCCTTGCTTTTTGGCAACCATTTCCCATTACTTTATTCTTGCGGTGTTTGTTCCGCTTCATGTCCAGCAGGCCCCGATCCGCTGGTCCAAGACCTAGCCGTTAATCTCTGACCGTTGCATCCGTCTCTCTCGCTTCCTCCCGCTCCCTCCTGCCCCCGCAGCACTCTCCCATTGGTGCATTTTCCACCGGAAGCGCGCCGATCAGGTGGTGCAGACATGGCAGAAGCACTTCGCGAGCGCGTCGCAGGATCGCAAGTTACCACTGCTGTACCTCGCGAACGACATACTGCAGAACAGCCGCAAGAAGGGCCCCGAGTTCATCCAGGAGTTCTGGCAGGTGCTGCCGTCCGCCGTCCAGGACCTTGTCCGGGCCGGGCCCGACAGCGCTAGGAAGTCCACTCTCCGCATTGTACGTATGGGGGTTGACTTGCATTTGAGATTACCGCTAGTAATAATAAACGTGGCAGGGGGAATGTCCCTGAGCACAGCCGCCAGAAGGGCCCCGAGTTCATCCAGGAGTGCTGGCAGGTGCTGCTGTCGCATGTCCAGGAGCCTGTCCGCGCCGGGCCTGAGAGCGCGCGAGAGTCAGCTGTCCGCACTGTAATGATACACCGCATCTCATTGCATGGCAGCTTCATTCCGCGTTGTACGCACACCCCGTCTCACCTCCCCCCGCCCCCCTCCCCCCCTTTCTCACCGCTTCTCGCCCCTCCCTCCCTCCCTCCCGCATTCCCCCTACCGTCGGGCCATGGCACGTTCATTCCCCCTCCCCACACCCCCTCGCTGTGGTCCCTCTCCCATATTTGAGCCTCATGGACCTGCTTTGCTTTGCTTTACTTGGTGTCCTGCGTTCCTTGGGCCAAAGAATCGCCTCAGTGTCAAAACTCTCCCATGTCTTGCGCGACGACCCCTGACCATGTCTTCTCTCCGCTTCCTTCTTGGCCGCTGTCGCTGCCCTACAATTTTCTGCCACGTGGTGGCGTGCCGCCAGGTGGACATATGGGAGGAGCGCAAGGTGTTTGGGCAGCGCGACGAGCCGCTGAGGAAGCTGCTGCTGGGGGACCTCGCCTCCGCTCCCCCCGCCGCGTCTGGCGCTCAGGGGGACGATCAGCCGTCCTCAGGAGCTACCACTTCCTCAAAGGTACGAGGGTGCAAGATACGGTTTTCTAAGGTACGAGGGTGCAAGATACGGTTGTCTAAGGTACGAGGGTGCAAGATACGGTTGTCTAAGGTACGAGGGTGCAAGATACGGTTGTCTAAGGTACGAGGGTGCAAGATACGGTTGTCTAAGGTACGAGGGTGCAAGATACGCGTGTCTAAGGTACGAGGGTGCAAGATACGGTTGTCTAAGGTACGAGGGTGCAAGATACGGTTGTCTAAGGTACGAGGGTGCAAGATACGGTTGTCTAAGGTACGAGGGTGCAAGATACGGTTGTCTAAGGTACGAGGGTGCAAGATACGGTTGTCTAAGGTACGAGGGTGCAAGATACGGTTGTCTAAGGTACGAGGGTGCAAGATACGCGAGTCCAAGGTACGAGGGTGCAAGATACGCGAGTCCAAGGTACGAGGGTGCAAGATACGCGTGTCTAAGGTACGAGGGTGCAAGATACGCGTGTCTAAGGTACGAGGGTGCAAGATACGCGAGTCCAAGGTACGAGGGTGGAAGATACGCGTGTCTAAGGTACGAGGGTGCAAGATACGCGTGTCTAAGGTACGCGGGTGCAAGATACGCGAGTCCAAGGTACGAGGGTGCAAGATACGCGTGTCTAAGGTACGAGGGTGCAAGATACGGTTGTCAAAGGTACAGATGGGCCATGGAACCAGGTTTTGAGGCGCCTCAGGCGAGCTCCTGAGGAAGCTGCTGCTGGGAGGCCTCGCCTCTGCTCCCCCCGCCACGTCTGGCGCTCAGGCGGACGACCAGCCGTCCGCAGGGGGACGATCAACCGTCGTCAGCTGCTGCGTCCACGCCCAAGGTGAGGCACGGTGAGGGCTGAACCCACCCACTGCCTGGGAGAAACCAGTAGTCTGGCTGCCTGGGTTCTGAGGGGCCTCAACTCAAGCGAGCTGCAGAGGAAGCTGTTGCTGGGAGGCCTCGCCTCCGCGCCCCCCGCCGCTTCTGGCGCTCAGGGGGACGATCAACCGCCGTCGGGGGCTGTATCCACGTCTAAGGTAGGTAGTGGGGTGAGGAGGAGAAGTGCGGGAGGAGCAGAAGTGGCGGGGAGGAGGAGAAGTGGGGGAGGAGGAGAAATGGGGGGGGGCGGAGCAGTTGGGGGAGGGGGGGCAGTGGGGGGAGGTGCAGCAGTGGGGGGAGGTGCAGCAGTGGGGGGAGGTGGAGCAGTGGGGGTAGAAGGAGCAGTGGAGGGAGACAGAGCAGTGGGGGGGGGCGGAGCAGTGGGGGGAGGTGCAGCAGTGGGGGGTGGAGCAGTGGCGGGAGGTGGAGCAGTGGGGGGAGGCGGAGCAATGGGGGGAGGCGGAGCAGTGGGGGGAGGTGGAGCAGTGGGGGGAGGCGGAGCAGTGGGAGGAGGCGGAGCAGTGGGGGGAGGCGGAGCAGTGGGCGGAGGCAGAGCAGTGGGGGGAGGCGGAGCAGTGGGGGGAGGCGGAGCCGTGCCAGGAACAACTGTTAGAGCTTGAAGTGCCTCGTAATAGCTCTTGTCCCTGAGGAAGCCGCTGCTGGGAGGCCTTGCCTCATGGACGAGACAGGTTGCAATTCAGTTCAGTCTACTCTCTCCCCCCTTGCTATTCAATCTAATCTCTCCCCCCTTGCTATTCAATATAATCTCTCCCCCCTTGCTATTCAATCTAATCTCTCCCCCCTTGCTATTCAATCTAATCCCTCCCCCCTTGCTATTCAATCTAATCTCTCCCTCCTCCCCCTCCTCCCCCTACCCACAATTTAATCTCCCCCCCATTTTAATCTCCCCCCATTTCCTGCCCTTATCCAAACAGTTGCGGGGCCCGTTGGAGCGCATATCGTCGGTGTACGGAGCAGTGCAGGACGCGAGCAAGGACAGGGACGTACACACATGCACACACTCTCTCCCCCCCCTTCCTCCTCCTGACCTAACACACCCAGCTGTGGGTCCAATTGGAGCGCATATCGTCCGTGTACAGTGTGGTGCAGGACGCCAGCAAGGACGAGGACAGACTCTCCCAATCACTCCCCCCCTCACCACCCCCATCCTTCCCCTACCCCAGGTGCGGGGCCCGCTGGAGCGCATATCATCAGTGTACGGCGCGGTACAGGACGCCAGCAAGGACGAGGACACGGCAGTGCGGCGGTGCAGCGCCATCATCAACGAGCTGCAGACGATCGAGAAGGAACTCAACGCGCTCAAGTCACCTGCCAACGCAGCTGGTACGTGGTGTATTTTGTGCAACGTGCTGATGGCATGGGGGGTAGCATGGGGGCAGCATGGGGGCAGCATGGGGGCAGCATGGGCGCAGCATGGGGGCAGCATGGGCGCAGCATGGGGGTAGCATGGGGGCAGCATCGGCGCAGCATGTGCAGCGCCATCACCAACGAGCTGCAGACCAGAGAGAAGTGGCGCAACGCCCTTAAGTCACCGGCTAATACAGCTGGTACGTGGCTTGCTGTGTGCGGCGAAGCCGTCTCATGATCGCATCAGCATGATCGCATCAGCATGATCGCATCAGCATGATCGCATCAGCATGAGCGCATCAGCATGAGCGCAGCGTAGCATGTGCAGCGGCGCCATCACCAACGAGCTCTAGGCCAGAGAGAAGTGGCGCAACGCACTCAAGTCTCCTGCCTGCCAATGCGTCTGGTCCGGTTTCTTGGTATGAGAGCCATGTGAATGTGAATGTGAGTGTGAGTGTGAGTGAGGCGGTGCAGCGCCACCATCAAGAAGCCGAAGAGCGCAGCAAAGGAGCGGGACCCCGTGGGTGGGCACTCAAGTGCCGCGTGCTGCAGCAGCGCTGCCAACAGATGACCGCCTGTGAGAGGAAGCGCGGTGCGTACAGCTCTCCCTGTCCCTTTCCGCTCGCCCCCTTGTTCACCTACCAGAGGCAGATGAACGGGCAGTGGTATTGGACAGGCTGGGCACCGAGCGAGCGGCACGTGCTGCAGCAGCAGTGCTGCGACCAGATGGCCGCGTGTGAGAGGAAGGACAGTGCTCACTGTTATGCGCCTTTCCCTGTGCGCCCCCCTTCTGCTTGCTGCCTGACCAAACCAGAGGCGGATGAGAGAGCGTAGTGTTGGACCATCGCCTGGACACGAAACGCCCCGTGCTGCAGCAGTGCTGCGGCCAGATGGCCGCGTGTGAGAGAAGGAGCAGGGCTCACTATCGCTGCGCTCTCCCTCTCTTCCTCGTCCCCTTGCTCCCCGTTGACCACAGCAGAGGCGGACGAGAGGGCCGTGGTGTTGGATCGCCTGGACACGAAGCGCCACGTGCTGCAGCAGTGCTGCGACCAGATGGCCGCGTGTGAGAGGAAGCGAGCTCTGCTGGTGAAGCTGCTGACCGACGCACTTAGGACGCAGGAGAGCAAGCTGGAGCGCCTGAGGTCGCAGGTGGAGGTGAGAGATTTATAGACCCCCTTAGCTAGATGTGGCATAGAGCCCCATGTGGTCGCATGTGAAGTGAAGGGGGACATGCTGACAGACCCGCTCCGAACGCAGGAGAGCAAGCTTGTGAGGCATCGTCTTGCGATGGGTCGTGTGCTGGTGAGAAATTTCTAGACCCCCATCATGTGCCGGTGAGATTTTTCTAGACCCTCGTCATGTGCTGGTGAGATTTTTCTAGACCCCCGTCATGTGCTGGTGAGATTTTTCTAGACCCCCGTCATGTGCTGGTGAGAAATTTCTAGACCCCCGTCATGTGCTGGTGAGATTTTTCTAGACCCCGGTCATGTGCTGGTGAGATTTTTCTAGACCCCGGTCATGTGCTGGTGAGATTTTTCTAGACCCCCGTCATGTGCTGGTGAGAATTTGCAGCATACATTTCTTGTGGGAAAATGTGCTGTTGGGAGAGATGGAGCCTGCTGTTGACTTCAGAACTCGGAACATGTGCCGTGCAATTTGGAATTTGGTGGTTCGTAGTCTCAGATCATGCCACAGTGCGCAGGTTACGCTCCTCCTGTCGTCCTCCGCTTTCCTCATTGAGTCACTTCCCTCCCGTCCTCCACTCCCCTCCTCCACTCCCCTCCTCCACTCCCCTCCTCCACTCCCCCCCTCCTCTCCCCCTCCTCCGCTGCAGATCGCCCGCACCCAGTCTGACATCGCCAGCAATCTGCGCAAGCGAGCCACGGAGGAAGATTCTGCTCGGGCCTCTGCTGCCCTCACTGCGGCTGCCTCCACTCCTGCTGCTGCTGCTCCCACACTCCCTGCTGCTGCTTCCACTCTTGCAGCCGCCCCTGCCACCACTGCTGCTGCACCAGCAGCGTACTTTCAACCCCCTCTGAGCAACCCTCCAGCTGCACCTGCCGCTGGTGCACCTGCGTTCCTCCTGCCTGGGTTCCAACCTCCCCCAGGCACATCTCCTGAGATGGTTGCTGCTGCTGCTGCTGCTGCTGCAGCTGCCGCTGCTGCCGCTGCGGTGAATAATTCGCAAGGCTCTACTCCTGCTGCTGCCGCTGCCGCTGTTGCCGCCGCTGCTGCTTCCGCTGCTGCTGCTGGTGCTGGTGGTGCTGGTTTGCCGCCTGCGCTCCCGACTTCAACAGGCTCGGCAACCGGAGCTGGGCTTACCGAAGCTGAGAAAGAGGATACGCGGAAGCGGGCTGCAGCACTGACGAGCCAACTGGTTGCTTCGGCATCATCCGCAGCTATTTTAAAATCGGTTCTGTCGTCGTTTGCTGCTAAGTCTGTAGCAGCAGGAGCTGCTACCAGTGCTCCTGCTGTTGCTGCTGGGGGTGGGGGTGGTGGGGGGGATGCTGTTGGTGGTGGGGGTATAGTGATTCCTGGAGCAGCAGTTTCGGGGGCAGATGCAGCGAATGACCCTTCTCAGCCACCTGAGAAACGGCTGCGACCCACCGATACAAGCACACCGCCTCCGTCACACTCCTTTGTATCACCTCCCCCTACTGCTGGCAGCTTTGCTCCCCCTAACCATGCCATGTTCCCCCCTCCCCCTCCCCCACTGAACATGGACGGTATGCCCTTCCCCCCCTTACCTCCTCCTCCCCCACTCCCTACCCAGTCCCCTCCTCACCAGCAGAACGTCACTAGCATTCCTCAGTTTCCCTTCTCTCCTCCCCCTCCTCCCCAGGCAACTTATCCTCCCCCTGCTGCCCCCCCTCCTTATAACGTTCTAGGGCAGGGAAATGCGGGTTACCAAGGGCAAGGGCAGATGGGGGGCGGGGATGGGGGTGTTGGGGGGAGCATGGGGGTGCAAGGGGGGGATTTTACGGGGCAAAATGGCGGGGGGATGTACAATGCCGGGGGTATGCCGCCTCAACAGTACATGTACGGACAGGCACCAATGCAGTAGGTAAGGAGAATATTAATTGTTGCTAAGTTTATATCATTGTCCTCCCCTTGCGTTTCCTATGGGTTAGGCAGATCGGCCTAGCTTTAGAAGATAGGTATTAGTGTGACTTCTAATGGCCGGCAATGCCGGGGTACTCCATATCGCGTATGGATCCGAGATTGCATTAGTGGGAGTGGGGTGAGCTTTGGTTCAGGTCGAACAGTCAGCTCATCAGCGTTCTCGAAGTGGTGATTTCGCTTTTGGCTCCGGTGCAGCTCGGTCCTGCGCTTTTCGTGTATACGAAGCGTGCGTGTGACATTCCACAGAACTGAGGTGGATTTCTCAGCAAAATCGGCAGCTCTCGTCACTTGATCGATCCCACAGGTTCGCACTGGAATCTCCCAGCATACTTTCGCCATTCCTGCTCCTTCCTCTCCCCGCTTTTCCTCATGCCTGCGGGAACGTGCTCCGCCATCGTCGCCCCCCTAGCCTTTCGCAGGCGATCGCCGTGCGACAGTAGCGGGTCTTGCGACAGTAGGCGGCATTCGTGCGACGGAACTCCTGTCGCCGTCACGCCGCGCTGTTTCGTCCCCGTCCCCCCAGCGTCGATGCCTCAACCCGCGGTACCTCTCCCCGCGATACCTCGACCCGCGGTCGGCTCATCGGTTCGTTCCAAGCCAGCTCGCCTCGCGCCTGGCCTTCCCCTTCCCCGCGCCGTCGCAATGCCGCTCCCCCGCTCCGGGAACCGCTCCCCGCGCGCCGACGCCTCCCCTGATGGGAGTGGCGGGGAGGGCGCAAGAGAGGCGAGGCCGCGGGGAAATGGGTCTGATAATGAGGCGCCTCGAAGTGGTTCTAATGGTACGGCGGCGGCAGCAGGCAGCGGCAGCGGCGGCGGCGGCGGCGGCGGCGGCGGCGGCGGTGGCGGTTCGAACGAGTGGGCGGGCTCGGTGTGGAGCGCGCAGGAGATTGCTGACGTGGCAGGCGGCGCGGTCGTCAGGGACGGCCCGCCGGGCCGCGTCTGCACCGACACGCGCCAGCTGATGGCCGGTGATTGGTTCCTGGCCCTGAGAGGGCCGCGATTCGACGGCTCGGAATTCCTGGACGAGGCGGCGCGGAGGGGATGCGGGGGGGCTGTTGTCATGGCGGAAGGATGGGGGGAAGGAGCGGATGGCGGGGTACGGGAGGGGTTAAGAAATGCAGGAGAGACGAGGGGTGAGGAGGAGTTGAGAGGTTTGGATCTGCCTCCAAACCTGCCTCCAAACGGGTGGCAGGGCGGGTTGGTGGTGGTGCCGGATACGCTCGGCGCGCTGCAAGGCTTGGCGAGGGAGACTCGGCGGAGGTTCGGTGGAGTGGTGGTTGGGATCACAGGCAGCGTGGGGAAAACCACAGCCCGGGCTTTAACAGCGCTGGCCCTATCTCCTCTGGGTCCCGTTCACCAGGTGATTGGAGGAAGGAAAAGGGCGGGGAAGAGGAGAGTACTTTTGAGGCGCCTCAAAAGAGGCGAGGGGGGGGTGGGGAGAGGGGGGGCCGAGGGGTGGTTTTGAAGGTTGCCCACTCTGTTACCGCTGCGGTTGAGCATTGTCTGCCGTGCCGTTATCTCGATCACTCCCCTTGGCCTGATTTTTCAATGCCACTCCCGTGCGCGCAGACCCAGGGCAATTTGAACAACCACATCGGGGTGCCGATCACGCTCCTAGGTGTGTTGACTTGATGACGTGGTGATTAGAGCGTTTGTCCGCAGCAAGCTTATGCTGATTGCAGTTTCCGAGCTGAGCCGAGTCGGTTCAGTATGTTTGAAGCTGATGTCAGCATGAGTTGGAGTTGGTTACAGTAAGCATTTTTCTGTTTCCTGTTATGCTGCTGATTGCACTGCGTGTTGCACTTCTAGCGTGGCAAAGCATGATTCAGAGAGTAATATTCTTCTTTCAACACTTTTCTTATTCCCCTAACAGCCATTGAAACAGCCCGGAACATATTGGATGTTTCAAGGCACTTCAGAATGCAGCTTCGATCGAACCACAAGCAATCAAAGTTCTTCCTTCCTTCCCTTCCAAATCGCTCCTTCCCTTCTTCTCTCTCCCTCCTTTTTCCACCCTTTTAAACCCCCTCAACAGCTCTCCCCCAGACATCTGCAGCATGTATCGTGGAGATGGGGATGAGTGCACGCGGCGAGATCGCCCTCCTTTCCTCCATCGCCACTCCAACCATCGGCGTGCTGCTCAACGTGGGCCCCGCCCACATCGGGGATCCGACCCTGGGGTCTCTGGAGGCGATTGCAGAGGCGAAGGGCGAGATGCTGGTGGACGCGGGGGAGGGCGATGTGTGCGTGGTGAATGCGGATGATGCTCGGGTGATGGCGCTCCCCTTTGGCAAAGGAGCAAAGAGGGTGAGCGCTGACTGCGGAACGGGGTGGGTGTTCCCTGCTCTCATTGGTACTTTCTAGGCATCTCAGAGCATGTTGCTCAACGTGGGCCCCGCCCACATCGGTGATCCGACCCTGGGGTCATTAGAGGCCATTGCAGATGCGAAAGGGGGGATGCTGGGGGATGCAGGGGAGGGGGATGTGTGCGTGGTGAACGGGGACGATGCGCGAGTAATGGCACTCCCCATGGGAAAAGGAGTCAGAGTGGTGAGGCCGATGTGTCCTCTCAACGTGGTGAGACTTCTCAGAGTGGTGAGGCCCATGTGTCCTAAGATCACCTTTGGCCGCTCCCCCTGGCCCCGCATTCAGCCGCTGTCACACAGACAGTGGATGGAGGGACCGCCATTGAAGCTGCCATTCGTTGCAGCTTGAAACCTAGTTTCTCCATCCATGTGCTCCCGAACCCTCACCCCTGTGTCCCTCAGATCACCTTTGGCCGTCCCCCCTCATGCGACATTCAGCTCTTATCGGCACAAACAGTTGATGGGGGGATGGCCTTTGAGGCAGACATTTGCTGCAAATTTGTAATCTAGTTCTCCTTCCCATGTTATCCCAAACCCTCGCCCGTGGATTCTCTACAGATCACCTTTGGCCGCTCTCCCTCGTGCGATGTTCAGCTGCTTTCGGCACACACAGTGGATGGAGGGACCCGTGTGTAATGACTCGACAAAAAAATCGACTCATTACACACACACACAGTGGACGGAGGGACCGCCGTTGAGGAGGCTCACACTCGCTGCAACTCTGAAACCTAGTTCGTCGATCCTTGTGCTCCCAAACCCTCACCCCTGTATCCCTCAGGTCACCTTTGGCCGCTCCCCCTCGTGCGACGTTCAGCTCTTGTCGGCACACACAGTGGATGGGGGGATGGCTGTTGAGGCAGTCATTCGCAGCAACATGCCACACCCTCAAACACAGCCACCACCACCTGCGGCAGCAGCAGCAACAACAGCAGCAACAGCAGCAGCATTACCAGCAGCAGCAGTGTTAGGAAATGATGAGTCTAGCAGCAGCAACACAGTGAGTGTGCGGATCAACAGCCCCGGGCTTCATCTCGCCGACAACGCCCTCGCAGCAGCAGCAGTGGCGGTGGCTGCAGGCGTGCCTCTGCCAATGGCGGCGCGACACATGGCGCGATACGAGCCTGTTGGAATGAGGATGAGGGTTGAGCGGATAAGGAGACGGGGTTTAGGGGAGGAAAGGGTAGAGGGGAGTGGGGAAAGGGTGGAGGGGAAGCAGAACAAAGGAAAGGGAGTGGAAGTGGAGGGAGACTGTGTGACTCTACTGAATGATGCTTATAACGCCAATCCCATGAGTATGGCCTCTGCACTTCAACTTCTGAATCAGCTCTCCCTAAATAAGAGTGCACCCTCCTCCTCTTCCTCCGCCTCCCCCTCCTCTCCACTAGTCTCAGGCCGCCCCGTGGCAGTGCTGGGCGACATGCTGGAACTCGGCAACCAATCAGAAAGTGCCCACGTGGAAGCCCTAACCCTCTGCCTGTCCCTCACAGGCATCTCTCTCCTCCTCACAGCTGGCCCAGGCTTTAAGTCAGCCGTGGCTGCGATGGGGGGGGGGCGAAGAGATAAGGATGATGGCAAGGATGGTGGTTATGTGCGCAGAGATGGTGATAGTAATGAAGGTGGTAGTAGCGCGGGAGATATAAACCTGGGCCACGTGCACGGGTTCTTGCGGAACGGTGCCGGGAGGCGTTTGGAGGTTTATGCGTTCGATTCGGCAGAGAGACTTGCAGAGGCAATTGCACCGTTTGCCAGTGTGGACTCTCAGGGTGATACTACTGCCGGGAGAGGCCGTGCTGGAAGCGGGGATTTATGCCAAGAGGCAATCTTGGGAGCGGTGAATGTGGGGTTGGTGAAATGGGGAGATGTGGTGCTGGTGAAGGGGAGTCGAGGGACGCACATGGAGCTAGTTTGCAGTGCTATTCACTCGGCTTTTGGAGTTGAGGATAGTTGAGTGTTCGCCCAACTACGTTGTAACTGCCTGCAGCACCATCATGTTTATGTCAATGGAGAGCGTTTCTCTCCCAAGATACATGGAGTTGGCATAAAGATCTGGTGTAAGCATGAACAATTCGTGTTATTGGTTGAAGTGTATAACGAGGTTCACGCCAATTGAATCTTGAGCAAAGGTGGAGATGCACTCCCTGGAAGCAGGATCATTACTCGTTTAGCCAATCAATGTACTCCAACTATTGACTCCGTGTCTGCCATGTGGCACGCCTCTCGCAGCCAACCGCAAGTGAGCGATCAGCCAGAGAGCGAATAGCGTGGCAGCCATCCGTCCGTCCACACATATGCATTCCGCGACGCGTTGAAGGTACACTGACGAGGGGTTAGTCTAGCGAGTAGTTTTTACGCGAGTTCAAACTGCTCTTACCTAAGCTCGGATGTTCAGGTAAATTCTCCCCCTTCCGTCGAGCCCGAAATTGCCTCAACAATTTTCGGCTCAGCTTTTAGCCGCCTAGCTGATTTTTGTAGGACTGACACGAGATCCCCACGAACGGCTGTGAGAGTCCCTCGCTGAAAGCACTACGCAGAGTGTCCCCTCAACGATCATGAAAGATTGAGAGTTGAATTGAAACAGGACCATAATCATGTTCATAGCTCAGTCTGTGGTGCTTTCTCGCCTCAGTATTTTCACGTAGTCTCTAGGTACTTCAGTGAAGTATCTGTGTTCCTCACCATCGATCGCTGCATCTATCTCTACGCAACCGCTCGCTTCGCCTACCAGATACGTCATCAGCATGGCGCTCGCTGCAGTGTCGTCCAACGGCATTTCGCGCGGGCTGGCGACTCCCGAGGCGGCTGGGGTTTCTAAGACCACCGTCTCTCAGGCCAAGTCAGGTACGCGGTCTGTGCTTCTGTCGGACCAGCGGAAATTGGTATGACCAGCGAATGTGCGCAATCCAAAAAGCATTCGTAGCCGTCGGAAATCACAAGCGGCTGCACACCAGACTCCTCGAAGTTTCACGGAAACTGCACTCACAATCCCAGTGATTACTATGCATCCAGAGGAGTCTCGTATGTCGCCAGCATAACGCCTTTCGGATCATTCGTTGGGTGGACGTGCCTCGGGTGACGTCATCCGCGCCACCTCAACCTACGACCGATCTAAATGGCAGTCGTAATCATACTCGGAATTTCGGATCCTCGACAAACATGTCTGCCGAGCTTGCTATTTCCGTGTTTTCCGCGTCGTTTTTTGCCATTTTGGTCCATACCCCATCCATGAGGTTCAGAATGGTAATCCGCCGCACCACGAATCCCCCATCCTCATCCATCCGTTATTATCAATCTTCTTTCCTCGATCCTCCCCTCCCCCTTCCTCCCCCGCCACCTTCCCCCGATTCTGTCTTCCCTCCCCCCAGTCAACTTTCTTTCCCCCCGGCGCACATCCCTCTCCTCCGCCAAGCCCCTCTCCGCCTCTTCCCCGCATCAACGCCTTCCGCGGTTCCGCCCCGCGCAGCCAGTAGCCGCGGTCGCGGCGGAGACCTCCTCCGCGGAAGGCGACTCCGCGGACGTCCCCCCGCCGGGGTGCTCTCGCATCAAGATCGAGCTAGCGCGGCCGCTGGGGATGGTTCTAGAGGAGCGCGCGGGGGGGATTTTCGTGGCGGAGGTTGCGCGCGGGGGGAACGCGGAGGCTGCGGGGGTGGTGGACGCGGGCGACCAGCTGATTGCGACGAGTGCGATCGTGTACGACGACAGCGACTCGTACGGCGGCGTCGTCGTGAAGAAGGGCATGCGCGTCGTACGGTTCAACGTACGCGGCGAGTCGTTTGACACGGTACGGGCGGACCGCTCTTCCCGAGGGAGAAAACACTGATCGTCACTGGGATGGCTTGCAGGTTCCTTTCGGTTGGGAAGCTTGTTTTCGTCTTGAATCAGGTTTTAGGAGGGAAGGTGATGCTTCGAAGATACGGTAAGGAGCGACCTGAGTGTGGCTTGGATTAGACATAAGTGGATCGGGAGGAGGAGAGGGAAGGTACGGATTGTCGACGTGAGATAATGCAGGTGGGTTGAGGCACATGGGAGTATGCAGGGAAGAGGGAAAGGAGATGGGCATATGGGAGGGAGGGGAACGAGTGGATGAAATCAACGAGTGAGCAGGTGAAAGTGGAGGGGTGGAGAGTGTGAGATTGTGGAAGTGAGTTGAGGAAAGAGAGAAGAAGAGGGTGCAAGAAGAGGAGAAACACAAAGAGAAAGAGAGGGCGGTAAGAGAAGAGGGACATAACGTAAACTTCAGCTCTCCCCTCTCCCTCCCAACCACTCGCTTATTTCTCGACCTCTTTCCCTTTTTCCCTTTCTCTCCCCCTCACTGCTTTTGTGTGTGCAGGTTATGGCTGCAATCAGCACACATCCCTCGTATCTCAAGGTAAGCCACGTATCGAGTGCACCAGGAAGCAGGCTGGAAAGCAGAGTCCGACTCAAAAGTAGGTCTTGGTATGGACGCATCCCTCTTATCCCAAGCTTACCCGCAGTTTCTCTCCCGGTTTTTGTCGCATTTTATCAATTCCTGTGGCAGCCCATCGGCCTTCTTTGCTCAGAACCTCTGCTTACTGTATTCTCACCCTCTTGCCCTTGCTTCTGCAATGTCAGCTTCTCCTGCTGCGTTGGTGCTGGTGGTTTGTATCTAGTCTCCGTCATACATTATTCACGCTAGTGCTCATGTGTGTTACCCTTGTAATCCGTGTTGCTGTCATGCCCTCATGTGCTCGCTGTCCCTCTCTGTCCCTCGCTGTCCCTCTCTGTCCCTCTCTGTCCCTCTCTGCAGGTCGCCATAGAGCTGCAGAAGTGCATGCCTCTCACCAGGGACCCCACCACCTCGTAGATTCTGTCCTTACCTTCTCATCAAACCTCCAGGCTATCTAGAAACTAGATCCTTTATTTTTCCCGTTTCTTATGCTGAAAATGCGCGAGTGTCAGCTGTGCCTTCAGTAATCTATTGGCCTTTCCTGTCTCATTGGCTTTCCGTGGGCCGTCTGCGTTGGGCCGTGGGCCATGGTGTGGAACTCACCCAGCCTGTATGGGAACAACCAGGGGGAGGGGGGTTCTTTTCCAAGCAGTGGCGGATGGGTACAATCATGACTGGCTCACGAGGGGTCCGTCATTGTTGCTAAGAATCTGGTTAGGGTAGAAGGAAAGTATCAGAATTAGAGAAGTGAATGATAGAGAGAGAGTACACACAATATAGCTAAGTGTTGTACCCTCTAAGAGGCTACCCTATACAGTCTATACAAACATAACAAATAGACATGTTTGACACACCCCCTAGACTGCATAGGGGAAAGTCCTAAACAAACAGCTCAGGGCGGCACTACTAGTCCACCTCTAAGACAAGGGTCTGAGCGACCAGTCAGAAGGAGTACAGACAAGGCAAGCACAAGAGCAGGGCGGCACTACTAGTCCAGCCACTGGAGAGGACACAAGCAGTGGTTACATATAAAGGACAGTACAAAGTCAAGGTCTAGCAAGTGAGAGGCTACAGGAACTAGACCAAGCTGTACACAGTGCGCTGCTGATCTTAGGCGCAAGCGCCTTCGTAAAGATATCAGCCGTATGGCACCTAGGCCAAGTGTACTACGCGAGCCTGGCGTCGCTGCTGTAGCTCACCAGGAGGAAGTACCGCAGCTGAATGTGCTTCGCTCTGCCCTCGAGTCGAGGCTCCTGACACAGGAGGATCATGGCCCTGTTGTCAGCGAACAGGACCGGGGCAGAGCTAGGCCGCTCACCTAAGTCAGTGAGCAAGAAGGTCAGCCAGCGGAGCTCCTGTGCCGCCATGGCACCGGCGTAGATCTCAGCCTCACAGCTGGACTGTGCAACAGACGAGGAGCGGGTAGCTCTCCACGAGACGGCACCTGAGCCAAGGCTGAAGCAGTAGCCCTGGGTAGACCGGAGTGTCTCGGCGTCGTCTGCCCACGAAGCGTCTGTGTGCCCAGTAAGGACCACTGGCCTGCGTCCTCCTAGCACTAACCCCATGCCCGATGTACTAGCAAGATAACGCAGAACCCTCTTAGCGGCAGACCAGTGCTGCGGTCGGTGTCTGCCTGTGGCCACAAAGCGAGCCAGGATGCTGAGAGGGTATGCGAGATCTGGGCGAGTGCAAGTCATCAGGTACATGAGGCAACCCACCAGCTCTGCGTAGGGGCCGCTGGGCTCTACCAACTCCTCAGACACTGGAGCGGAGAGTCTGTGGTCTACAGGCAGAAGGGTGGGCTGTGCAGAGGAGAACTGAAGGCTGAACCTCTGAAGGACCTGGCGCACCAAGTGTGACTGAGTCAGGGTGATGGTGCGCGCAGCTCTGTCCCTGGAGATCTGCAAGCCAAGGTAGAGGCGCAGTTCTCCAAGGTCAGTGCACGTGTGTCTCTTCAGCAGCTCTGCCTTCACGGAGGCCAGTGCATCCCTGTCTGCTGTGGCAAAGACCAGATCGTCGACGTAAACAAGGATGTAGAACGGAGTCTGGCCAGCACGAACGAAGAGGGAAGGGTCTGCGGAAGACGGAAAGAACTGCAGGTCAGCAAGCGTAGCACGCAGAGTGTCGTGCCACTCACGGGGAGCCTGGCGCAGGCCGTAGACGGGGCGCCGCAGGAGCCACTGGGTCCCAGGAGGGAAGGTGCCAGGAAAGCCCTGAGGGCGACGCAGGTAGACCTGCTCGTGTAGGCTGCCCTGAAGGAAGGCAGTGGAGAAGTCGAGGGAGTGAAGCTCGTAGTCACGCTGAGCAGCTAGGTGTAAGAGAACGCGAAGAGTAGTCATCTTCGGGGTCGGAGCGAAGGTCTGGAAGAAGTCCACCCCCTCGCGCTGACTGAAGCCTCTAGCCACATAGCGCGCCTTGAACACAGGCGGCTCTCCAGGAGGGCGCTTCACCTTGAAGAGCCAGCGGCCATCGACTACGTTCACCCCAGGTGGGGGAACTGCGTCGACGAAGGTGCCGGTGGATGTCCAAGATGCCATCTCCTGCTCCATGGCAGCTATCCACTGTGAGGCCCAGGGTCCCGAAGTCGCCTCAGCGTAAGTGCGAGGGGTCGGGATGTCAAAAGCGTCTGCGTCACCCTCAGGGACTAGCAGCATGGAACAGAGATGGGGAGCAGCCTCGGAGTGGAAAGCAAGCTCGAACTGGCGGTCCTTCAGGACGTCACTGCTAAGGGCAAGAGCACCCCCAACAGACGGAGGACAGGCAGGGTCAGAGACCAGAGCGGTGGCGTAGTCAAGGCGGCGGGTAGAGGCGAAGTCAGCGACAGCAGCGACAAGAGCGTCAAGGCACGAGACCGGAACAGACGGGTCGGCGGGGGAGGGACGGCCGGCGAGGACTGCACAGGAGGGCCACCAGAGTCAGAAGACTCCTCAACCGGGTCCTCCGACGGAAGGGGGGTGACGTGGGACACACCAGAGGGGGCGGGACGGGGAGGAGGAGGAGGAGGGGCAGGGACTACCGGGGAAGGAGTGACCAGGAATAGGGGGGGGGTAACCGGGGGACCACGGTGGGGGAAGCGACGGTAGTAGGAAACGGACTCGTCAAAGGTGACGTCGCGAGAGTGAAAGAAGCGGTGAGACGGCGGGTGGTAAAAGTGCCAGTCGGACGCGTCAAGGGGAAAACCGAGGAAGACGCAGGGAAGGGTGCGGGCAGTGAGCTTGTCCGTGCCGGAGGCACGAACGTGAGCAAGGCAGCCCCAGACGTGGAACGCAGACGCGTTACCAGGAGACCCAGTCCAAAGACGGGTCGGCGAAACCTGCGGCTGCTGAGGGTGCGGCCACAAGTTAAGCTGGTGAGAAGCGTAGCGCACAGCGAACGGCCACAGAAAATGGGGTGCACCGGCATGGATCATGGAGGTGCGAGCCACCTCCATGACCAAACCGATGCGTCGCTCGGCGACCTCATTCTGCTGTGGGGAGTCTGGTAGGGCGAACGTCTGGGTGATGCCCTCCGCACGACAAAAGCGACCAAGGACACCGGAGGCAAACTCGTCACCACGGTCGGAGTGAAGACGCAAGACAGGGAGACCGCGGTGGACACGCGCAGAGACAAGCCAGGGGATGAGAGCGCCAGGCACGTCGGCCTTACGCTCCAGGGGAAAGACTGTGAGAGACGAGTGAAGTCGTCGACAAGGACAAGGAAGTAGCGCTCTCGACGCGGCCCAGGGATGGGGGCGGGGCCCCAGACGTCCAGGTGCAGGGTCTGCAGCGGCGCGGCGGAAGGGGGAAACGAGGAGGAGTGAGGGGCACGGCGAAGCCGACCCTCGACACAAGGCGTGCAAGGGGGGGCGGGGGAGGAGGGAAACGCGGGGAGAGAACCTGGGAGACCAAGGACAAGACCGTGCTGGGACATGTGACGCAGACGCGGGAGCGCAGGGTGACCTAGGCGGTGGTGCCAAAGGAGGGTCGGGTGAGTGAGGGACCGACAGGAGCAGGCAGCAGCAACCTGGGTGAGCGCTCCAGCCGGAGGGGTCACGGTGTCCAGAGTGAACAGGCCGGACACCGGGTCCCGGGGGAACGTGGACAGGGGGGCACCAGTGGCGGCCTCGGTACAGACAGCATACCGCTCGTGACCAGGGAACGTAGTGGTGACGCCAAGGTCCTGGAGGCAGCCGACACCAACTAGGTTCCTGGAGAACGAGGGGATATGCAGATCTGTGAGAGTGCCCGAAGGAACCGCCGGACAGGGAAGGGTGGTGGAACTGCGGGCGACTAGCGGACCGCAGGAGGGGTCAGCAAGAGAAACGGCAGCAGGAACAGGAAGCGGCGTCAGGGTGGTGGAGTTGCGGAAGAAACACCGAGAAGCGCCAGAGTCCAAGGTGAAGGAAAGCGAAGCAGAGGCGTTTGGCGACGGAACGACGGCAGAAGCACCAAGACTACACAAAGCAGAAGCTCCTACGCCTGACGCAGCAGGGGAGGCTACGCTAGGCACACCTACACTAGGCAACAGTGAGTAATAAGCGGGAAGCACACTAGAGTCATCAGCATACATCACATGCAGAGCAGAAACAATGGCATCCATGTCCATATCAAAGATCTGAATCTTACGACTAAGCAAACTGTGCCAGTCCGGGAGGTCTGGCGACGGGCCGAAGCGCTGACGAAAGAGGTCATCTAGGCAACGAAAACAGCGGGGAGTGGAGTGACCGATCTTACCGCAAACGAAGCCGCGGCGAGGACCGGTCTGGATCTGGTACTGACAACGCCCGCCGCCAGAGCCACCACTCGGCACACCACCACGCGCCCGGCCACCGCCAGCGCCGGGCCACCCGGGCGGAAGGATACTCGTCTGCCGCGTCTGCGACTGCTGCTGCGGCTGTTGCAACTGCAGGGGCGGCGGCTCAGCTGGACTGGGCAGGGTCCCCTCGTCCGCTCCAGCACCAGACGACCCGACCCCACCACTACCCCCTCCCGCACCCCCGCCTGCGCCTCCGCCGCGCCCAACCTTGGGGCGGCGGCCCTTCCCCGAACGAAACTGTGCGGCAGCAGCAGTCTCAGCCACTGCGGCAGAGCCGTCGGAGAAGGTACACTGAGCGGGGGCACAACCCTGAAAGATAGGGACCGGCACGACACCGCTCGCCTGGGCGATGGAGCGGTGACGGGTCTCTATCACAGTCAGGGTGTCTACAAAGTCAGTGAGGGTGAGGTCTGCGGGGTGAAGGCTAAGGAAGCGGTCGCGGGTGACAGCAAGGCGGTCAGGGAGGCGGGTGGCAAGCAGGTAGATGGTAGAGGTAATGGGCGGCTGGTGGGCTCTAAGCTGTGCGTCAGTGCAGGCAGCGCGCCAGGTCTCATCTATCGAGCGCAGGTGGGCAGCGAGGTCAAAGACAGTGGGGAAAGATGCAAGGTCAGGAAAGAGCATCGGGAGGATCAGGCGACCCACCGAGGCAGCCGGAGGGGTGGAGTAGCGCTGGATGACAGCATCTAAGTATGCCTGAGCAGTGGTGAGGGACCTAAAGCGAGGGCGCTCGGACGGGGGAAGGGCGTTGCTAATGGCAAGCTGAGCGACAGCATCACGAGAAAGCCAGACAGAGCGCGCACGGGCAGTGGCAGCAGTAGACTCGCGCTCAGTGGGGGTGGAGTCAGTGGGCAGAATAGCAGGGGGGTCTGGGCAGGGGAGCGTACCGTCAAGGTGTGCGGAAAGCGGTTCACCATCCTGCCGCTAGCTAGTGAGTTGGCGGCGGAGGTCGGCAAGCCACGCCTCGAACTC